GTTGTTGTTGCTGCTGCTGCTGCTGCTGCTGTTGCTGATAATGATGTTGGCGTTGTTGTTGCTGTTGCTGTTGCTGCTGCAACTGTTGATCTTTAATTGAAATTTTGATTTGTTGCTGCTGCTGCTGCTGCTGCTGGGGCTGCTGCTGTTGCTGTTGACTAATTGTCGATGTACTCGGCATAAACGTTGCTATTGCCTCCTTACTCTGCGGCATTTGTTGCATGCTACCAGCACCGACACCAGCTTGAATTTCATTTTGTCTGCAATAATGGGAAGTTTAAAATTTCAACAATTGTCGACATTTTTTTTGCATTTATATCCATATATATATTTACCCTGGCTCCGTTTTAATTGTGGTGATTGCAGTAAGTTCATTTTGTTGCTGCATAATGTAATTGTCGTTTGAAAACTTGAATGGGAATTTTAAATATGTATTTATTTATGCAAGACTTCTTGGTTCTACTTGAACGAAATATTTATTTACCTTTGGGTTTTCCAAACTGCCAATAGTGTTGCTTACCACGTTTTCTACGTTCTTTGAAATTTGCATAGAGTCTTCCAATAGTGTGCTGCTCCCGACCAATGTTCTACGCACAATATTTTCGGTTTTGATATTAATCCCAAGTGGCTTGGATGATTCACTCTGAACTTTTTGCTTTATGTTATCTTGGTGCATTTTTGTTTCTTTAATGGGTTGATTATCTAAAGGCAATTGCAGTTGCTCCTTTGGTTGGGATTGTTCATTAAAATCTTCTCGATCTTTAAAATTGCTTAGTATTGCATTTTCCGAGGAATCCGATTCCTCGAAATCGGCACATGATTCTTTATTATCCAATAAGTTTTTGCCAAAGAAAGCCTCTTGTAAATACGCCGGATATGATTCGCTCAACTTGGACTTTAATTTTTTCCGTATGATCTTTTTTTTCTTTTCAACCTCGGTTAGCAAGACATTTTCACCTTGAACAGCATATTGTTCATCGTTTTCTTTACGAAAGCCACGCATGCGTACATTAAAACCGCCAATGCCAAGCTTTTGCAAGTTACGTTGCCTCTTCTTACGTAAAATATTCAATCCCTCCTCATTCGTCGATATTGAAAATCCCTCAGGTTGACTACCGTCCTCGCCAAACCACACCATGCCGTCTTTTAAGAAAAAGATTTTAAGAGCGTTATACAAAAATATGCCCAAAATGTATCCACTCACTCCACACGTTATACCTCGCAACTTTACGAATTGTGCACAGTAAAGTATAACGTGGATGACTTGGATGACTTTTGATGCTGGGTATTAATATAAAATTCGTATAAAATTTTGCTTGCATTTATCGCTCTTAAGTGCAAGTCGTACGTTCTACACGCAATTAATGATTTTTTTTTCTTTAGTTTTTAGGTTTTTTTTTTTCGTCCACAGTTGATTCTTCAATTTCAATTATTCGATAGCATTTGCAGTTACACTTTGTGTTAAATATACTGAAAAAATTTTCCCTCTCCGAGCGTGTTTGCACTATGTAATTGACCTTGAAAACTAACTATGCTAAGTTTCTCATTCCCATTTATCTCACGTAACGATTTCCCTACAACTACTCCGTTATTTAGAACTCTATTTATGACACATATGCGAACCGCGAGAACCGCTTAACTCTAGTGAAATTTGCTTTAAAGATGTAAGCTTTCAAGGATCGTATATTCATACACTTCCATTATTATTCCCTAAATTTTAGTGCTTAGAGCATGTATAGCTCACCAAGTGGTGATAACATTAAATTGGGGATAATGGATAACTTATTAATGCATACCTTTGTAGGTTGGTGTAGTAATTTTTTCGATTGGTGTTGACTTGCCATCTCCTCCAGCATCACCTGGAGTGGGTGTGCTGTTCCCGGCAGCTGCGTCTGCAGCATTTAAGGCGGCTAAATCTCGTTGAGCAGCTGCATCTGTACGCACTTTACGTTTCCTCTTAATCTCTGTCGTCAAAGAGCGTATCATATTAAGACCATGTTCGCTTACGCAGACGCCGTCCAACCAAAATGTGTTATCCGTAGACTCAAATGTATCGGCAATTGGGTGGGCAGAAGTGTTGCTGCTTGTAGCATTACCCTCAGACACACCTGCACAGTCTTTGTTCTGACTGTTTAAATTTTGCGTGCCTTTCACTGCCCCAATATCACTCAAAAGTATTTTCGTTGGTATGCTTTTTGCGGAATTATTTTTAGATCGGCACACCATGCAGTGATATTCAATTTCATTAAACAACTTCGCTTCTTCTTCGTTTTTAATAGAGTCGCACTGACAATGGAGCCATCGTTCGCAACTGGCGCACTGAATAATTAAATCATTTTCATTATATGCCTGAGAGCAAGCAAAGCAGTTTACTTGGCTAGCACAAGGGCCGCATTCCAAGAACCCGTTGAACCAAGAGGAATTTTTTCCTGGAGAATTACGACCGCATTTCTGGCATATTGCACACCATTTACACTTCCAATTACCATTCGGGACAGCATCTAGAGGTGGACTCATGCAGTATATATGATAAGAAATGTCACATTCGTCGCACAATATCAGACGTCCTTCGTCGTTCTTCTGCCCACACCCTTCGCATACCGTGCAGTCGAGGCAACGCCAACCTTTTTGTAACATTGTCTTAGAGACGGTGACGTTGGCGCAATGTGGATGATAGCACTGACCACATTGCACACATGCTATTAGACATGCTTCGTGATCTGTGCCTAGAGAACCACACATTACGCAAACATCTTGCATCAATATAAATTTGTCCTTCGCCGAGCAAAGGATCATTTTTTTTTCAAGGGCAACATCTTCTTCAGAACCTTGACTGCTATTCAGGTCACTTCCGTTAGTGACAGAAGAGGAATTTGTTATCAAAAATTGTCGCCCCTTACCACGTGCACTCCTTTTACGATTGATCTGACTCATTAAGCCGCTCTTCCCCACCAACAATTTACTCATTTTACCTCCGCGCCCGAAGTCTTTAAGACCTATTCGTTTTTTAGATATCTTTAATGGATCCACAAGATGTCCAAATTCGGTATTATCTTTGTCATAAAATTCCCATTCTAAATCACGTCCAAAACTGTCAGTTGACTGTAACAGAGGATCTATAGCGCTATTAGAACTGGATCCCAATAAATGTTTACCATTCAATGTTATCATCTTGCACGATGGACAAACGTAATCATAATCGGGATTTGTTTCTTTTTTTAGATGATAAATAGCCAAATCCGCCTCATCGTCGCAAGTGCTATGAACAAACCTACGAGAAATTTAACTATTACATTAGATCGTTTTGAATGCTGCATGTTGTACTTGTTGCAATTACTGCATTTCACCATTTCCTTATGCGAAGCTGCACGATAAGCCTTGTGGCAAATAGGGCAAGAAAATCCTTTGTTGCGCTGTTGATAGCAAGAATCGCATATGGTGTAATGACAATGCCAACGTGAAGAAGCACCCGCACCCGGTGTACGAGCACCGCAATCGCTGCATACTCGACAACGCTGCAAATGCATTTTTAAATATTTATTAATACACTAGATCTTTGTTCCAACAACCGTCATACGTACATTGCATTTCCAACCATACTTCGGCACGGACGATATAATCGGCCTTAAACAAGTTGTATGATATATTTTTTGGCATTGTTCGCATTTTACTGAACGACCGTCGTTGTTCTCTGTTTGTCGACATATCAAGCATTTGCAACACTGTGTACAATTCCAACCTGACCGTGAATCTATTACAAATCGGAAGAGCGAACGATTAAGAGTATGAAGGAATGAAAGGTTTAATGCGAACAGAACCTGGAAAATTTGCGAGGCCAATACAGGTGGTGTGATAATGGGCCCCGCAAGTGCAGCACATCAATAACTTTGATATATCGCCTAATGTCGAGCATTGACGACATTCAATGTTTGCATCAATCGCTAGAGAAATGTTTTTCAAATCCAAGTGAAAGTTATAAAGATTTATAAAATAATGACTTTAAGTTGGAATAGCTACCGTACACTTACATATGTAGGGCACTTGGCTAATGTGTTCAGAACAAAACACCGAAAAAGATTCAATAATTAGGAAACAGCTTGCTGCAGCGGCACAGGGCAAATGAAAATTTGTGGTGCAACTCATACGACAACCAATGCTTGCTCCATATCTTTGACAATATGAGCATTTCCGGGTTAGGCTTTTCGCAATCATTTCCTCGACATTAGGAACGAAATCCTCTTCAATACGTTTCAATTGTACCGACCACATCACGCACATGCTATGCATATAGATAAATGTTCCATCGTCTAAGAGATTGCTCCATGAAGGCACTTCATCATGACCAATGTTGTCGAGCTCATTTACCAATTCGTTGTTAATGGTAACCTTTTGTTTTGTCAAATTCTTTTTACGTCCACTTGTATCTGCTGGCTCTTCGATTTCATCATTCAAATCTTTCACATTTTCGGATGATGTTGTAAAAATTGTTTTAAATGTTTCAGCATTTACGGTGATTTTTAATAAGTCACCTTGACCCAAAGAGCTTCGTTCGCATAGGTTGCATAAGCAGCACATCTTCCCTGGGTATTTTTCAGTGAAATATGGCAATTCATCGAAATGAACGCCAGTCGTCGCTGGCTTATTATTCTCATCAGGCATGCCCATGCTCGTAGCGTCACTTAAAGAAGAGTTCGGCAGATCTTTGGAAAGCTTTTTTTTTGGTTGAAATTTGCTATTAGGTCCCCTATATAATAGCAATGGATTTTCTTTGCGGGGACGCCCCGGTCCCCGTTTTGAATAGCTGGCGAATAGCTTTGTTTCAAAACCTGTTCGCACACCCGGTTGATTAAAACTATTGAAAGGTGAGCTAAGCAATGTCGAGGTGGAGTTGGTAGTATTGCACTGTTTGAGTATGATATTAATATTATTGGTTTGTGTAAGGTCTTCATTTAACAATGATGGATTTGGAGACCCTGCATCCCCCAATTCAGATGTGGGCGCTATATATATATGTATAATACATAATGAATGAATGAATATGCGTGACTTGGATGAGCATGCGTGGAGATGACTAGCACAAGATACAGTTCCGCAGGACTTCGTTAACATAGAACCACTTACCCGATGATTGTTGGTAACTGGAATTAGTCAGTTCATACTCGTCAATATCCAAATCCAAGCCAATGTCTGCGTCCATATCATACACTCACTCGTCTTATTCTTATAAATTATAGCATCCTTAATACCGCTTTTATAACATTGAAAAAAGTATATAAAATATATTACAACAATAATTAGAAGATATATTCTGAAAAATATTAACAAAATAATAAAAAAAAAAAAAAAACGTAAATATATGAATATGACAACACGCTTTTTTGTTAGAGTTGCCAACAGCAAGCAGCTCTGCTTAACATTCCATTTCACTTAATACATCAAACTTTAACAATCCGAACTTTTTCAAACTTTAGCTAACCTCGACTTTTTCAAACTTTAATAATCTGGACTTGTGGTGAAACATTTACACAAAGTGTTCTCATACATACATCTTTCGAATTTGGCTATTTCGAAACATTTATTGTTAAAGATATGAAAGATTCAAAGGTTTGTAATTCATTATTGCCACTAATACACAAGGCATTTTGCAACTATTTCACCAACAAATGAAATAATTTTTTGTGTATCTGTGTGTTTTCATTGGATCTACTTTCCTTGTTTTAAATTAACATCATGAAAAGTTTGATCTTTCTAAGGAAAGTGCTGAGGGCTGAGATATTCAAAATGTTGTTCATCATCAACTGTATCATCTTTCCGAGTTGTTTGCTGAAACGACAACTGGTCCCATGCGATCAGTTTAAGTGAAACATTACATTTTCACTATAAAATTAAAATATAATTTTTACAAATTACTAAAATTAATTCAATAATATTCGCACTCTTTATAAGTTATTTGAATTAAACAACAAATAACAATGAATTTACAATAATTCATGAAGTAAAACTTAGTAAATCAATTTTAAAATTATTATTTTGAATTAATTGATTCGCTTGGTCGACTTTAAACAAGTGCTGGTAAGCATTAGGTAAAAGTCAAAAATTGGTAATACATTTTGACTTAGCGCAACTAATGCTTCCTACACAGGTCTAACAATAAGGACTTTATTATGGTTATTTTTTTCAGCTGTGGACCGCAGTGCTGAACACCGACAAGTTTGTCAGTTGGAGTAGCTCATTATACACTATATTTAGCCGATCTTCCATGCGGAGATATAATATAATCACACTATACAAATAAGAAGACTATAGTGGGACGTGGCCCACCACTAGTTCGTCTATTATATAGTTGTTCATATAAAAATTATTCAAAATAAAGGTCTATTTGGTGAATGGTCGAAAAAGTGGGCCGCAAACTAGGGGAAACCGATGTTGTGCTCATATCTGTCAGGGATTGGCGTGAAGTGGAGAGATAGTGTTTTGAGTGTCTATCCTTTAGCACGTTTAGCTCCACAATTTATTTGGACCAAAGAAATAAATTCTAGAGCTAAAAGCAGGATAAGCGCTAACAAACAATACTAACGGCTCTTCTTTCTTTAAGAGGTAGACTAGGTAGCCCAGTCGCTTCCATAAAGTCAAAGTCATTTGATTGGAATTAAGTTCTTCAAATACTTTAAAGATGGCCATAAGGTTGGATGCTTCCATGGCCATGGGATAGAATGTTCGAATATTCAAAAGGTTTTCGGCCACATTCGCAGATCGGAAGAGTGGAATTCTTAAGATGTGTTACATTGGTGTGCAACATTCGCCCAAAAGCCTTGATCTTGATTTCTCCGACTTTGACGGGACGCAAATGAATAGTGAGGTTAGGATTAACATGCGAGTAAAGTGGAAGGTAGTACTGTCAATTTACTCTTCAAATATTTTTTCTTAATACATTTTTGAAGGCCAAAGTTTTCGATCGTGTCGTCGGCAATTATAGGTGCGGAAGTTCCGGATTTGCCCGCTAATTCTACCCACTCATAATTGGATATCAAAAGAATTGTCATTTTGCCTGCATAAGTGACAATGGGACACCTCACCTTGTTAATGGCGTTTCAGTTCAAATTTAGGAAGTTACGGATAGCCTTTGTGATGATGAGTTAAGTTTTGCAAGGGTAAAGCCTCCAGAATAGCTCTAGCGTCCGTTGTAAATGTTGACGAACTTTCATGCAGAATGTGAGATTAGGTTGTACTTGTCCTGTGCCGTTTACTACAGTATAGCCAGATGGCAGGCAATTACTCTTCTTCTATTGTGAGTCAGGAAACTAACAACAGATGAGTCAACTCATTGAGCTGAGCAAAAGCGAATCATCTCTTAGAACAAACGTGAGCACAAAGAGTAGGCCAACCATTACATTCCATTAGTTCTCTGAAGACGAGATTTGATACCCATTCTGTACTGTCCGTAGTACGGGAAATTTGACAAATGCCCACAGTGGTTTAATCCCGGATTTTCGGGCGACGTTCAGGGGAGTAGTTGTTTCTCTTTCGCAACATCTACACAGGAGTCAATTGAGGATTGGTATCACTTGAAATAAGCTTTCCTAACATCCTTGCCGAGCATTGAAATTATAAAACATGGATTTCTCAATTTGTAAATAATTTATTCTTTTATTGGAACTTCCTACTCGTAACAATTGTGAAAAAGAGTAATTTTTCAAAATACATAAACCATTAGTGAAAACGTTAGTAAAATGAAACCGTTGAGATTTTCTAGTTTATTGTTCTTGTTTTGGGAAGCACAACATTCGATGGCGAAATCCAATAGTTTTGGGTAATATTCGTTCCAAAAGTTAATTTTGTAATTTTCCGTTACCGATTTCAAATTGAAATCCTCATTAATTACTAGATATGTTTGATTCGTTTGACTGAAAGCGTTCCATTTTAGATATATGTTGAAAGCGGTCGGATTGGAGGCTTTGGCGAAATTCGCCCATAACGTCATTACAATATCGGAGATCTTCTTGTCGGTTGAATTCCAACGATTGATAAACATGTTATTATTCATGTACGGAACTCCCCATATGAAAATTTGATCGAAATATTTCGGTACACTAATCCATCGAGGTAAATTGTAAAATTCCGTTTTAGGTCGAATATTGAAGTAATAAACAAAAACATCTTCGTCAGCGTTTAGGTAATTGGCTAAAAGGAAGAGCGGTGACAAATACATGCGGTCCGTGTGAAAGCTGACGAAATTGCTGAGCACCTGATTTGAGCTTAAGCCTTCTTCATTCTTATATAACAAATTAATCGAATCGATAACAATGTGCAGATTCGAACACCATAGGTCGCTCTGATTGAATTTTTGTATATCCTCGGAGGCGATCTTTGATGCGAAACCTTCGAAATCTGTCGACGACATTTTATTATCATCCGTATTTATATTGTCCAATATCTGAAGAACATCTTCCATATCTGTAATGCCAATTATAACGGGAACTTTATGATAATTTCCACTTTTAAATAAGGCCACCGGATAATCTTCTATGAAACCTTTCGATGTATTACTAAAGCCATGATCGATTATAGGACCCCACTCCACATCGGGTATGTTATCCATTAAGATTTTGGCATCGACACGCTTCAGACACTTGATTAACATTGAAGTGGGCTTATGATTACAGCCGAATATGTCGGCTATTTGATCCAAAGCATTGATATAAAAATCGAAGGTCTTAACCGTGTTTTCAGTTAAGGGATTACCCGACATAAGGATAACTTTATGGAAAGCATTTCTCGACCAATCGCCTGCAGTTAAATGCAAGCCTGCGCTGATAGCTCCCGCCTCATGGCCGATAATAGTTATTTGTTTTGCGTCGCCACCAAAGTGAGCAATATTCTTGCGAATCCAAAGCAAAGCGGCCGATTGATCCATTAAGCCGAAATTCCCAGGCGCTTCGTTGTCGCCGGTTGTGAAAAATCCCATAATACTTAAGCGATACGCTACAGTCACAACGATCACTTTCTGCTTGAAAACCATTTGAAATGGATCGATATCTGTGGCACTACCAGTAGAGTAATCGCCGCCATGAAACCAAACCATTACGGCATAGCCCAGTATGCCTGGTGATCCTGTATAAACATAACAATAATAGGCATAAAAATAAATTCTTATTACGTGAACTATTTATGTATTGTAGAAAGACTTCTTCTTCTTCTTCTTCTTCTTCTTATTATTATTATTATTACTATTATTACTATTATTCTTCTACTAACCATCCGGTATAAATATATTCAAATATAGACACTCCTCATCGAAGACAACGTGAGACACGTCTCGTTGATTGTTATTCGAACTCATCAACAACTCTTGTATATGAATGGTTTGCTTGTCGGTCTCTTTGCTTAATTTTTGCCAACATTTTGGACCGTAAGCGCTCGCATTGTAAACGATATTCCACTTGTTCATTTTGATTTCAGGCGGCGAGAAACGTGGAGCCTTTGCGTATTGTATACCGAGGTAGGCTTTTAAATTCTGCGTGCGAAACATTTTCAAATATGTACCGATTAAAACGCCTTGATTTGGCAAATGCACCGTCGGTGCCTCGAGACAGCAACCGAGTCGCGAGTAAAAGCCGTAAATAAGCAAAGCTTTAATTGTATAATTAAAAAAGATAATTTGAAAATTTAACGACGTCAATGCTGCCTTTAAAGCTGCTGCTAATGCTCTTGCTGTTAACATTTTAAGATGTGCTGAATAACTAACGGTATTTAGGCTAAAGGCACTAAAGGACTGAACACACATTGTATGCATGCGGGTGCAAGAACTTCATGATTTCGTTGTCATGGTAATGAAAAATGTCCAAAAAAAAAAAAAAAAAAAAAATTCGTTGCCTGGCACCCAACCCCCCCCCCCCCACCCAAAAACATCATAAAAGCTCTATACATATATATATACGTACTCAGGGTTTTGGTTGCACGTTCGTGTACATATACAAAAAAAAGTATTTATGTCCTTGATACATATATTGTTATTATATGTAAACATGAAATGCACGCAATTTTGACTCTAAGGTACTATTATTATTATTATTATTATTGTTGTGACTAACGATAGAATAATTTCTTAAAGAAATTTTAAGAAATGTACTAAAACACACACATTAAAATATTATTGAAAATAAAAAAAAAAAATTACTTAAATATTTGAGCACAATTTTCATGTAATGCACAAAGCATGCATGGACAATAAAGTAAATATTGATATGTATGTATGTGCGTGTCATACTATGTGTGTGTGTGTGTGTATAATTATGTATAATTGATAACCGCCATTAAACTTATTCTGATAGACAATCTAAAGCTGGCAATTAACACGCATCCTCTTTGCACCTATTTTGTGTTTACTCTCACTTTTCAAAAAAAAAGCAAAACAAAATTCCATTAACCGTGACTTGAGTTTGTTCAGTACATATTTAATAACATATAAAGAAAGATAGGCAAATAGATAGATAGGATGGATAGACGGACGGACGGATAGATGGATGGATGGATGGATGGATGGATGCACGTACAAACCACTTGTTACTCACATAGCACAAGCAACGCACACATAGACACACATAAAAGCATGATTATGTTCATTAATAGATCTATAGGAACATATTAAGTATATTAAATATATTGAAGTTGAAAAACACACACATGCATACACCCGCCCATATATATATACGTTTAAATATACATGTAACTTATTGATTGTGTGTGTGTGTGTGTGTGCGTGTGTGTATGTCTTCCATTTTTCTTAATTTTAAAGGCATCAACTCCAATGTGCTTAATGCATATAAGTATATGTATGCATGTATGTATACGTATGCATACGTATAAACATTATAAAAATATTGAAAAATTATGCCGTTCTGCTTGACAGATCGCCATCTCACATCTGAAGCTTAGACTTCATATGTACGAAACTCTTCAACTTAATTAGTTGGATTCGAGTGCTCTTCAGATCAAAAACGAAAAAAACTTTTTTTTTCACATCATCTTCTCGCATTATCAAGATGAGTGCCTTGAAGTTTATATTAACACTAACATTTTTTAAATATGGTAAAAGTTTTCATTAAAGCCAGTTAACCAAATCTTTAAAAATTGTATTTTTTCAAGAAAAATGTTGTTCATGAAAAGATTTTTCTTAACTGAGTTTTTTTTTTTCGTTTTTTGTTTTTTTAGCATCCGATAAATTGCTCAAAGTGAATGGAATTCAAAATTTCCGCGTCGCTCGATTTGATACTAGTGTATGTAAAAACCAAAAAAAAGTTGAACATTAAGTTAAATTTAATTTTAACATAATTTTTGCATTTAATTTTCAAGTTAACTGAACAATTTTTAAAACAATTTGTGTGATTATAAACAAGTACGAAAGCTATAGTGGAGCACGGCCCGCCATTAAATAAATAAATACCCTACGGTTACCTACGATTGTCCATATGTCCGCATTATATGGGAATTGATCAAAACATTGGTTCGATCAGAACGATTTTCAATAGCAGTCAAGTTTGAGCCAAAGCACGTCAATGCACCCAATTTCATCAAACTGTCAAATTGCCGCCTATGGGTTGAACATAGATTTACATGGGCAAACATTAAACGGACGGACGGACGGATTGACTGACAGACATATTTCTTCAAAATATCTCAAGAATTATGGTCTGTAGGGTGAACACAAGAGAACAAGAAGGACGGACGCCTTGACCTCACCTTGTCGGTATAATGAAGCGTACAAAAATACTGTATCATAAAAAATTCAGATAACTCAGCCAAATAGTTTCACAAACTCAATCAATAAGAATATGGCGAAAGCGGGAACAAGACGAAACAATAGGGATATACTCGCTCGATTAACCCGATCTCAAGTTAGTGTATTGGGTATTGAGTCAACGTTTGTCGTCATAACACACATCACTCGTGGCAAGGGCAGATTCAATTTTTACGTAATGCAATCTCCGAAAGGACTTGAGATTTCGATCCATTTCCCGAATCTTTCCAGCATCGTTGTTCGCCGTAAGAATACATTAAGTAAGCGTGTGCTTGGGAACTATTGTCCTTCTGATTTATTTTATGATTAGACATGTCTGTCCTTCTGTCTCTCTGACGTCTGTTAGGGTATTATTGTGTGCAAGCTACAGATTCCAACCCATTAACGTTTACGCATTCGCATAATTAAGCATAACGATGGAAATGGATTGATTCGGATCATTTGTACGAGAACTCTTCAAGTACTTCATATAACGCTTTGCTTTAAAGATGTCGTTACGTGAAAAACTTTGCCCTTTTTTAACATTTCTTAGCAAAAATTGTAGTACAAAAGAGTACCTTGGCGTACTAAGTGAATGTGATAAATTTGAACAGGATGGATCTTTCATATAAACCCTCTTACGTTCTAAGCTCTTACCTAGGTACGTAAATATGAAACCGGAATTTTCGCATTGAAAATACACACGTATTTATTCGACGGTAATTATAAACAATAACTTAATCGTAATAACAACCCATTGTTGTCTATACATATTTTTGCCCGTTTAACAACTCGTGGATGATATGGTCTGGAAAATTTATGCCTTTTGCCGCGAACCTTGCTTCGAGTCGCCACCAATGCGTAAATTCCATTTTCAGGTTTACTTACCTGCTGTGCGGCAATAAGGTATAATTTTTAGTATTTTAGATAAAAATTAACACTTACTATATAGTAACTTCAGGTATAAATTTATTGAGGCAAATTTGAACTATGTAAGCCTATTTTTTGGATCCCTATACAAAGATTTCCATTAGGTATTAGCTTTTTTTGTACGGCAAAAATGTGTAACTTTTGGCACTTTATGATCAAAATGAGTGTATTGGGCAAAGTGCTGTCAGGTATTTAATAGGCGGCCCGACTGAAACAATTGGGTTTTAACTTGCTTGTTCTTTATACTCATTACCGCAGGATGAGCAAGCTTCAGAATCCCGACAAAGTATATATATTTTTGATCAACATCAAATTCTGAATCGATTTAGGTGTATCCGTCTGCCCATCTTTCCACTGGTCCCTCCGTCCGTCTGTGTAATGTCTGTTCTAAACATTCTCCGGGCCAAAAACTAAAACTATCGATGACCAATTTTGCAGAAACATTGGAAGCTCTTGCGTGTTAGCTGGTAATGAACATGGGCCAAATTGGTCGAAGGTCGAAAAATTGTTTTTTTTTGCTCGTTACTCATAAACTAAGCGGGTAAATGTACAAAAATTGGAAAGCATTTTCTATGGGCGATGTTGTAGTACGTGTACAAAACTGGGAAAAATTGGCCACGCCTATCCAATATTATAGTGTATGAAAATGTAATTTTTTTTCCAAACTCTTTATAACGCGCAGAAACAAGCTTCCCTCCAAGAAGCAAAGTCCCATAAAGTATGTAAATTCTTGTCCAGTTTCAAATTGCGAATGTACTCAAGCGTCATCTGTTCGACAGTTCAGCTCTCCATCTGCCCAACTATGTAGTGTCTGCGGTAAACATGCTCCCGTTAGCGAAGATGAAGCTATTGCCTACAAATTTCCAAAAGAATTTGCAAGTGATGTAAACTTTTCAAAGTACACGCCTACAATACGCACAGGCCAGTGCAACAAAAAGTGCGAGCAGATTTTTTTGCTTAGTATTCATGAAGCGCAACACTTACACCATATTAATTTCCACTTTTATTCTGAAAATAGAAAAACTCAGCCCAATTTATCGCAATCTCCCAATGTTATGAAGCATGAAATTTTAGACATAGTTACGACAACGACAGTGAGTGCAATTTGGCAATATGCCAAATGCATTCTTAGACTGCCGAGGTGTATACAGTGATGTAAGAAGAAGGTTGCAGGCCTAAACTAAGACTGCTTTGGAGGAAGATATGTACACTTTGGATATTAGTGACCAATAAAGCTACACCGATTTACGATCGACTTTTTGGCACCTATCATCTTCTTATAGGAGCGCTTGTGGGTACATCACCTTTACACCTTAATTTAGTTTCTTGTAACAAATCTCGTAAATTTAAATAT